TTCTACTTCTGAAAAGATTCGACGGTTGTGTTTCTTTATTCCCCGCTTGCGTTCTTTAAACGTTTCACTGTATTTGCTCACCTGATTTGTATATTATTGTGTTGTCACTCATCTTCTCTACTGCTCCCGGTCTTAGACCTCAAAATTACACAATTCTACGCCGATCTATTTCGCACACAAGCGGCATTCCTTATTTGCAATTGCTTAACTTTGTCGCCGACAAACATTTTATCTCTCGAGATAACTTCTGCAACAATATTTTATCAGATATCACTCACTTATTACACACAGAACTCAAGCAAAGCATATCCAATTCTGTAACTAGACCTTTTCAACTTCAAACGAATCCACCGTAACTTCAAGTGAATCCAACCAATCGCACTCCATTGGAAGCCCCGACAAGATGATTGGTGTTTTGGCTGTCAAATGTCACCGATTGGACTGGGTCTGTCCAGTTCGAATGAACTAATTTCTCGGTGAACAAACAAAAGTACATTTCTCGCGAGTTACCGAGCCAGGTTGAATGTTTCGGTAGGGTGGGTCGAGGTGGGCCGTTCTACCCCCGCCTCCCCCACACACCCGTTCCACCCAGGAACGTTATGTTCGTGATCGTTGATCGAGTGTGCGTCATAGATACGAATGAATAAACGGATTCACTTGAAGTTGAATAGGTATAGTGTATGCTCGAACCGTTGCTTGCCGTTTGTCCATTATCCCGTATCTTTCGAGTTTTCCATTTTTAAACGTTTAAGCCACATTCCTTTGAATTTACGACACTGTTTTTGTCACTTTTTCTTTGTGATTGAATGCGATGATAACTGATTCTGGAGTCTATCCATTAGGATGAATAAAGCAATTTTTGATTTGAATAGAACGAATTACCGTGGCTCAAAATGCACATCTATCGTCGGACTGCCGTTTCATTAATTATTCTGTGCTTTATTTTTTTTTGGAATTCTGAAGACCTGTTCAAAATGATTTGCAATTTACCAATCGATACCCTTGTCATCCTTCGTTATTAAAAATAGCTCTCACCATCCCGGCACCAGTCTACAAATCTTATAGTCAATTTGATCTTGCCTTATTTGTTTTGTGATAGTTATCGTCACTGTGAGAACGTTGAAAATCTATCGTGTTGTCGAAACGAGGACAATGGCGATTGGATCGCGTTTCTCCACGAAGCGTGCGATTTTCTGCGTGAGTATCCGAAGTGCAATAAGAACAACAACAACAACAACAACAACAAACTATTGTTTTTTCCAATGTGCGATAGGTTACTGATTGGGCAAACTTGTTCAAGTTCGAAAAAGTGTACAAAAGAAATTACGGTGGAACAAAGTGTATGAGTCCATGATTCGCTTTCAGGTGAAATACTGTGGGATCACGAAGCCAAAGGAGGTGTGAATTGTCATGGATAGAGACAGCGAGAGAATTCACAACAGATTGTCCTTCATACTTCTCGTCTTGGTTGGTTTGGAATCAGGGTTTTCTAGTTAACTCCCCACGATTAAGCGGCAGATTGTGCTCCGATCTGTGTCGCATGTTGGTTTTTCTTCATTCCACCTTGGTTTTGAAACAGCTCGAAATCGTTCCCTCAGCAGATGCTATTTGAAAGAACGTTTGTTGATAGAAGAGCCTGTCTCGAGACACATGGGACGGACAATCAGACAAGATATACACCACTGAATATGCTGAGGCTTTCGGAGGTATGTGAAATTCGAGCTACCTTTACAAGTCGCAAAGGCTTGGCTTAATTCATAGTCACTCCTCACCCAACCTTAAGCCTACAATCATATATCTATTTCCTCTGATCTGAAAGTATTTCTCGGTGAACCTGGTTGCATCTGCAACTGCAACTGTTCGGTTTCACCTCTCCGTGTATATCGACAGCTATGAGTGAAGAGTATTATTTATTCCGAACTTTATCTCCCACTGCAATGTTTTTAGTTCTCTTTTTGTATCAACTTTTTTTTGTGTGTGACCTTAAGTATCGTGATAAAATTTGTCAGATTTCGAAAGTTACAGCTCAGATTTGGAAAATATTTTATGCAAGCAGCATTGGAGTTCATTGTTTCTAATAAATGACTGTTGTTTCATACGGGTGTTTTATTCTAGTAAAAACACGATTGTTATTCATTTGTTGCATAGTAAATGAAAATTTTCCAGCCTAAATATGGTGATAAATTATGTGGCTAGAAGTGACTCATACAAAATTTTACATCCGGTAGAAACTGAAAATATATTGACAATCAATTTGATGGATTCCATACAAAAACGAATAACTCCGATGTTCAAAATCAAAGGGGAGACTATCAGTCATTTTTATAGATAAATCGTTGTGATGTTCTATTACTGAGGCCCTTTTATATTGCAACTAATACACCAGCAACCGTTTTCGAAATCGTAGATTTTGATGGTGTTTGATTAATAGGAGCAAACCATATTAATATCATATTCTATCCCCCGTGAATGAGGCTGGAAATATTCAGCGTTGGGAAGAACAACTGTGATAAAAACCAGGATGTTGGACGAACTTAATCAATAATTGTACTGTATTACTATTATTATTACTATATAATGGGAAAATAACTGGCTTTTTTTTAACTCTAACTGTTAAATGATAAGGGGCATTTTGTATAATCGCCATCTAAATGTTCATATATGGTATTCTTCGTGTAAAATTTCGGTCTATTTAATGTGCATAGACAGCAGATTGAGAGCACACGTGAAATTGATAATCAGTATCAATTCTGCTCATACTGTGTTACTTGTTTTACTCAAACGAAAGCACATTGTGTCATAGGATTCTGTAATGTGGCTCCTCAAATTGTGTAATTAGCAAGGCTGGATTTTCAGTTCATTTCACTCCACATCTCATTCTAATAAACCTTGCTACATGAGCAGCTGCAATTCTCTCCGGTCATGTTTCAGTTCAGTTTCAAATTGAACAACCATTAACCATGCACTTTCGTGCGCCGGTTTTGGTTGCTGTCTTTTGGCTGCCCATTTGGATGAAGAATAGGAGAAGAAGAGGAAAGTTGAAAGTGGAGTCGAAAGGAAAATGGAGAAGTTCCGTGGACTAAGGTTGGGAAGAAATTGAGGAGATGCACCTTAAAAGTGGAGTCGAAAAGAAAGTGGAGAATTCAGTGGTCTAAGGTTGAAAAGAAGTCGACAAGATGCACAAACGCTACTGTTTACGACACCCAGCCGTATCGCTCAGTGTCTCTAACCATCGGTTACGATCATCCCGAGATCCCCAACCAGGGAGCCTAACGGGGCCTATGTGACCCAGTCTCCTGGTTAGGGTGTTCATACCCTCGTGCCAGGTCTTAGCTTGACCACCCTTGGCTTTTTTCCACTCTGTATCTGCTTCGGCGAACATCGCTCGCCGTGGTAACCTACCTGGTGACATGCGTAGCACATGTCCCAACCAACGTAATCTATGGATGTCGATCACTTGCTCCAGTGTTCGACCGCGGATACCCAAAACTCTGCCCCTAACTTCAGCATTGCTCATCCGGCTACCCCACCAGATTCGTACAATGCTGCGTAGATAGCGGTGTTCAAACACGGAAAGTCGATCTTTATCCTGTTTTATTAATGGCCAAGTTTCTGCACCGTATAGCAGAACTGACCGAACTGTCGCAGCATACACTCGACCCTTCACAGACAGCCTGATGTCGCGACGGCGCCACAAATTTCTCAAGTTGACAAATGCCAACCGAGCCTTCTGTATGCCAGCTGACACTTCATCCGTGATGCGTCCACCGGGTGAGATGTAGCTGCCCAAATAACAAAACTTATCCACTTGCTCTATTACTTCCCCAGTTAGAGAGAGGCTGGGTGCTGGACCAACCAAGTCTTGTAGCCACATTTTACACTTTGAAGGTGCAAAATGCATACTGAGTATGACTACACTGGCATTCAAGTTATCCGGAAAAGCTTGTAACTTATCTGGATCTTCATTTAATAGCATAATGTCGTCTGCGTACTCTAGATTAGATAGCCTGCCACCTGGAAGTAAATCAATATCGCTAACCTCGCAGGAGGACAGGGCTGTTTCAAGAATTAAATCGATGACAAAGTTGAATAGAAAAGGAGAGAGAGGGTAACCCTGACGAACACCACCTCCCGTGATGAACTCGGGCGAAAAAGTGCCGTAAGCCCGGACTCGACTTCGGCTATTAGTATAAAGCGATCGTAATATTGAAATATAGACGTCAAGAACAACCGATCATACCGGTGTATAGCTACCAAAGGATTGGAATCAGATTACTGAGTCTCATTAAACATTAAAAAGGAGGAGACGAAATAAGCTGTGATCTGTCTAGTCAACTCGAAACAGGTTTGAACGAGCAGTTCCTAGATAGGCGCACCACTAGTTAGTTTTTTGTGGTTCTTGGCTCTCCACTCGCATGTGTATCTGATAATCTTTATATATGTGCGTACTTATATCTGCGATGGAAATCTTTGTGATGACCGACAGAGAGCACCGAACAGCCATTTCGTCTTGTTTGGGACTCTTCAGCAGAGCGTACTTATTGGTGTCCCTGTCAGGACTCGAACCGGGAACCTTCGAGTTGGGACTTCGAACCCTTACCCCTGAGCTGCATGGTCAATTGTCATCACTTTGTGCGAATGACTCAATGAAATTAGAATGGAATTGATTGGATTAGCTTATTCGATATTTTTCACAGGTATCAGGTACCGTTTTTGGGGAATGACCGATCTCCCAAGGAGTGAAAACCAAAACCAAGATCATAAAAGCAGTGCGTGATACCTGTGAAAAAACCGAATGGGCTAATCCAAAACATTGATCGTTTAAATACACACATACCTCATAATCATGCTATGGAAACACAATATACGATAGAATTTTTCACTTCCAATATCCCTCTTTTCCTCAGTGTTATATTGATATGATACNATAGCAGTGACATTTGGGCAAGGGAACGGGTGATGAATCAATAAGCAATTAGCTAATATCAATCAAGATCTCATTGGTAACTCCACAATTTTTAAGCCCAGTGGGCAGTTCACTCGTTGTTTCACAATTTCTCACCTCGACTCTCGTTTGCGAAATAGAACAACGCCGATTTGAAGGACGTCGTGTGCTTGTTGTGTCCCGGAACACGATCAGTCGTAATGTTACCGTGGCTATTGCCTATCTGACCAAATACGGTGGAATGTCACTCAAGGTGAGTGTAATGCGCTGGATGTGTCTCTCAGGCAGAACAAACTTATCTTGATACTGGCATCCGNGTTGTCGTTTGCTGACGAGAATTCGTATTTCGTTTTCCGCGCCAGTGATTATCGTGAAAACTATTGGAACCAACTGTTAAGTTCATTTTATACTTGTGCTTCCTTTTATTGATCATGCAGAGATTCAACTTTCGCGAAGTGGGAGGCGGTCAATCAAAGGGCTGTCATACAGCACACAGAGCGGTTCGTTCATTGGAAGAATTCAAGAGGTTAAATAACATGTAAAAAAGAAATTCATCGGATATTCAGGCATCTACCAATCACGTGCTCGTATTCTTCGCGTTGCACAGCTTCTGTCTGAACCACACGGCTTCTGATTGGTCAGCACAATCAGCCTATGGTTTGTTGTACAGAAGCTGCCATCGCGTAGGCACTTTTCTGGCGTAATCTGGGAGGCCTGACTCCTCACAGTTATCCGGAAACTGTAACGTGTCGCTCCGAGATTTGCGTCATTTCGTAAACTAGAATCACCATATTCAAGTAGGGCGGCGGTGGTCGGATTTGAACACGTCCTCTGGGTTGATAATTTGATGACGTTAGCACCGGGCGACTATCACCCGAGTCTGACGAGATACAGTACTCTTAATATTATATTTATATTCATATAGCTTCATTTGTATGTCGTTTGCGTTTCACTATTACTATCCCTATAGTTTGCATCATCCCTCTCGTGTCCCCAAGTACACTCCAAGGTGCAATCTCATTGTGATCGAACCCGGGACCTCACACGCAGAACGCAAGCATGCTACCCAGTCGGTCATCAGGAAGCTGATTAGACCGTTTTCCATTCACACGATGGATTTGTGCACTGTGCTGATAAGACCCCACCAGGTCAAAACAACTGTCCAACAGTGCTTCCTAGCTTTTCAGTTCACGCTTCATTTGCTATATACACGAGGCATTCACCTTTGAAATTGAATCAAATTCTCCAGTACTCTCACATGAAAGCATTATGAGCCGAAAGGTTCAGTGAGATGCAAATACTTGTCATCCGAACTGAATCATAGTGCGTTGTCAAGACTTAAACTGTTTTTTAAGTTCAAGGGACAATGAGATTTTGATTCATAGATAGAGTGCAAACGATAGAGCGTAGTACACAAGGGAGTGATTGGTTTTGCCTCGATAGTTACCTCTGCAGAATAGAAAGACAATTACGTAATCGGGTTTTAGAACACATTCCATACTGAGTTTATCTTTAGGTTGCCATGTCAAGGTCCATACAGTTAGTAATCAGTAAGGATAGTGCTTACAAGACACCTAGCTCCTCAACCGCCAAGCAGTTGTTGAGGACGCAACATCTGATTCATTAGGAGAGAGAGAGAGTATTTTTACTAATGATAAGGTCAAAATGTTCCAGGAGATTGCAATCGAGCGATGGAAACCAATCTGGTATCAACAAGACTTGTTCATCACCCTTGCTTTGTCCTAGCGACTCTTTCCCCGTTTGCATTTGTCTATTTTGTAATCCATTTTCGAAATCGAAACAAACATTGTACCTGTCTACGATAGGCACCAGTTCAGTTGACGCAACAAAATTGTCCAGGATAATTAGAATTGCATTTTGACCCTATTGTGCATGTTAACCAGGATGTGTCGGTTTCCGCACAGTCACGTGTTTCGCGTGAAGCTGTGCACCACATACATATTTACAGCACGTTAGACAAGCAGATCAACTGATTGAAATACCCGGCAGGAGGGGGTGGGGTGGGTAGCGATGTTGCGACTGGGTGGTGGAGTGGTAAAGCGGTTTCAGACACAATTTTACCAGTCAGTTCATCGCTCTCCTTGTTTTTTTTCCCGATAGGACTCGTGGAAACATGTGAAGAGTGCGTGCATGCCGATGCAACCGAGCTGGGAATTTATGGAAATGTTGTCGGAATTCGAAGCTCAGTGCAACGGGAAAGACACTCGCACACTACTGACGGAAGAAGAATTCTACGGGAAACGGATGAGACAATTTTGCCCCCAAAGTCAGGAAAGATTACCGAAAGTGAAACCATGACAACTTGTGCACTGGTCCGATTTCAGTTGAATTCTCTCTCTCGCGCGCGCACACTCTGGAATTCAGTTATCATTCGTTTCTCCTAGCCTCCTTCATTCATTCGAACATCACTTTTGACAATATGTCGAGAGCATATTTTTATTTTGTTGTGCTTTATCAGATTGTTTGTGAAACTAAACACCACGAACGAATTGTGGCATTTATTGTGCGTGTTCTCGTAACCCAGGTGCCCGGGAAAACGGAATATTAATTCATAAATGCCAGAAGGTTATACTCGTCTAAGATACACGCACAATTTTTTTTAATCGGGTTCTCGAGCGAATTTTCCGGCAAGCGTGAGGCGGGAGTTTATTTGAAACAAATTCACTCCTATTCAACCAACCGAAGGCCATAGACGTCAGCCTACAAGAAGTGCGGCAACTCCCAAGCAATTAACGATTCATAAACTAAAAGCGTATCTCACAAACTGTCCTTAGACCCGGGTTACGACGACCTTTGGTAATTGACCTGTCTAATTGCATCGGTGCTCTGGGACAAGTGAGAGTATCGTTTATTCATTCACACAGGCGCGTCCGTGTGACGGTGTTTATCGATCGATCGAAATAACGTCTCACTCCACTCACCCGTTTATCAGTCAATCGTTCACCCGTTTGCACCTTAGTGTGACAGAGCCCATCGATAGACCGAATGACCGTGTCTTTGGTGACTACTGTATCAAAAATGACCACATTAGAGTGCCCCACAGAATTGCAAAAAGTACTTTGCAGGGTACAAAGATGTTTTTAGCAAAATCATAAATCGTCGGTTGGCTCACCTTTGAAAATCAACAAACGCGCTGTTTAAACCAATTGTACACTCCAACAATCGACCCGAATCCCGAGCATTAACCAAGGCAAACACCTTCAGTAGATCCAATAACTTCTGTGCCTCGCTGACTGAGATGACTTCCGGCACATTCACTGCTTCACATTCATATTCTTTGAGGACTCACCACGAGAAGTGGTGGGTAGGGAAGTGCAGAGAGATGGAGAAGGCTGCGGCTATCGGTAATAGTCGTAATCTCTTTCGTTTAATTAGGAGTACAGGACCAAGAAAATCAGGCGTAAGTGAGGCAATTAAGGAGTCTGATGGCACACTGATTCAAATTCGGAAACGTCGTCTTGAACGTTGGGCAGAACATTTTAAGGAACAGTTCAGCAAGCCCTCTTCGACACAAGACCTCCTCCCACCCGGTTCAACTGTGCAAATACCGCCACTTGATATCAGTCCTCCATCTGAAATAGAGGTTACTCGGGAAATAAGTTACCTCAACCGGCATAAGGCTTCCGGACCCGACGGGCTATCCCCATCCATTTTTAAGGATGGTTTTGGAGTCAACAAAACTCCTGGGTTCAGTGTGGGAGAGGGAAGAGGTTCCAACTGAATGGTGTGAAACTGTAACGTGTCGCTCCGAGATTTGTATCATTCCGTAAACTAGGATCAGCACATTTTCCACTTCACAAGCACTGATGATGTCACCTCCGCTGGTGATGAAACGTTTGCAAACAAATTGCCAAGCTCGGCGAACAGGCGAAATGGAAAACATTTTCCACAAAATTATTCGACGAATCGTATAAAGAAAACGACAATTTATGTACAAATTTAGCAGAAAATGTGCAAGCAAGGAGAAAACAACACATCGATCTTTGAAATGGGGAAATTCTTATGCCCGTTTTTACCGAAGAACCGAAGGAAAGTATACTGTTCCAATAAGCGGTGCTATCTACATGACATTCGAGCAACCAAATTTTTCGATACACTGAGTTTCGAGAAAAATTGTCCGACCTCAGCTAGGTCTGACTATTCTCATCTGAACTTCGTTCGACCAACGACCAAATCTCCCTCCCCGGGTATGAACTGATCACGCCGTATACAAACAAAAGTACTTAGTAAATGAGCCAATGTCCGAAAGAGTTGTGAGGCACTACTCACATTTGTGAGTAGTAGTATGTTGCGCAAAAGAATGTAATCGGCGGTCTCCCATAGCGGTCAATATCAACAAGACATCCTGGAGCGAGTCAGTGTTAAAAATGGTAACTGAAAACAATCTACCGCTCGAGTGATCTATCGATTATCCTGCACGCTCTTCGAAATTCTTTGATCTGTTATGAGATGAGACACTTCGATCAAAGTAACCCAATTTCCGAAGAAACAACACTCTGCAACCCGGCAGTCTTTGGGAACTATCACACTTTGAAATGTTTAATGAAGTTAATCATCCTGTTGATGTGTTCATGTCTGTGTCATTGTGATACCTAATCGGGGGTGCGCGCACTGAGGCCGTGGAAGTTTGCAATTGTCTCCACTAGAATCCAACCTTAACCTGTCTGCGGAGGAGCTATGACTGATGCTACCGTATTGTCCTTCCGAGCTCAGATTTTGTTGTTATAGTTCTGTTGCAGCAAGCAGTATCGAACAGGCTTGAGTATGACGACAGTGAATAATTTAACGAATATTTTCGTATTTAATCACTGGTTTAAGGTTGACTAACTTTGGCAGCTATACCATTTGAAATTTGATTTGCGAAACTTTCACTTTGGGCTGCGAAAGAAACGCGATGGTTGGAACAACCACCGTTCCATGCACCTGATCGATCAATGGATCATACGAGTCTTCTACCTCCGGATTCTCCACCTGTCGTCTAACACTTCTGGTGTCAAAATGAAGCAGACCTCAGTCTCACATCTTGTCGAGCTCGCTGACGGACGTCGTCGATTCGATGGGACAATGGGATTTGTGCGAGATAGTTAATCTGGAACCAGCTCGATACGCCCAAAACGGAGTTACGCAGTATTCTCCGCGCGCAACAACGAAAGTACAGTTAGCTGCCCATAACTGCTCAATCACCAAAGGTTAACCACGACCACGGACGAGTTCAGTCTACTGTGAGCGATACGCTCTTCATCACCTAGATTATGAGCCCATTCGAGTAGGAAAATTTGTTGGGAGGCTTGGGTCGGAGTTATGAAGGTGAACTTAAATGACTGGGATGTGTTTTCCCAATGGTCTAGCAAACACAACCAGTTATACCGGAAGTGTAGCTCGCCCATTCCTGGCTCAATAATAACCAGTAGGACTAAACGAAACAGAACTAAGTCCATTCGCTTGACAAGAAGAGATATTTTCGAAGTTAAAAACTGATATCCGTTATCAGAATAAGTACTGGTGCATAAAGAACAGCTACACGGACTATAACACGACAGTGGGCATTTCTTCACAAGGTTGCATGCAGAATGTGTGAACAAATCATGTTTTTATTTCAGTGACAGGAATAAAAATATGAAAGGGGCCGAACGGAAAACTCACTAACCGGGTGCATAAAGCTTTGTTTGACCTCGGTTAATCATAAGCACCTAAACCGGAACTGAATCAGTTTCAGTTGTTACAATCATTAAACCACTCCCCTCCTTGCACCGGTATTGGTTGCTATCATTTAGCTGCCTATTTTCGAATACAGTGAAACTGATTGGCAATCAACGGCACTGTTTTCCAGTTCCTTCCAGTAACAAATCCTTAAGTTTATAAGAGCTTTGATTGTTCAAAACAAATGAGTGAGTGAATCTGTCATTAAATTAACAAGGTGATGCAACGAATTTGAAGACATACTTACTTAGTGATCGAGTTATTTACTTGCTGATTGGGTTTATTAGTGACTTGAACAAACAAGTTTCCAATACATTTTAGGATTTAATAGAAAAAGGAATTCGAAAACAGTGTCACTGAGTGCTGCGGGCCAATTGAGAAACTCCTTTTCAATAGTTTCATTCCTATGACCGAAGTAGAGACTGTTTTACGATTAAGCATATAACTTTTAATTTCTCTGGTTGAAGACGCTCTGGATCACTCATTAAGCTGCTTTTCCAAGAGTTGTCAGAACCAGTTATTTTTATATCTTCGCCAAATGACAACAGAGCCCAAAAGTTGATTCGCATTTTACGCAACGACCTGTAGAAGCAGTGAGGTTGCAGGCAACGGAACACAGATATTGTAACTGGAAAAAAGAATGGGAAACAAACAGCACCCTAAAGAAAAAAATCACCACTTAAGCAAGAGAAGCGTTCTACTATCTTCACAAGAGACAAAACCGAGTTGTTATATCTCGCCAAACTATCACAGAAATAGGTCCCTGTGATGCGTATCCTAACGATTCCAATAAAAAAGACAGTTAGAAACAGTACCAACTTTTATTGGTATCGCCAGCCTAAAGTGATCGAGTAAGGAAGAAAACATGTGGTATTTATGGGGTTGCTTATTGTCTAAACATTTGTCCGGAATGGAGGTTACGTGGGAGACGAGGGAGAAAGTGCCAGAAATACGGTCAACGTACTTTACTCTGACACCCACGCATCCAGTAACATCGAGGACACGCCGACGCGTTCACACGGTGCCGACCGATCCTAATCTATTTCTGATTCATACCGTAAGGATTCTCAGGGGAAGGAAGGTTAGGCTCCCAGTGACACGATTCTAATCTAAGAAATGGTTTACAAGAACATTGAGCATAGAGATCATCTGGCCACACTCAAAAAGGCTTCGGCTACGATACCACCTGAAGATGTTGCTGCAATCTAAAAGAGGCAGGTGATCGGAAGAACCACAATCAGTTAATGCGGGTGAGAGAAACGAGATAATGCACACATAACCAGTATGAATAAACGCTGAACGTTTGCAAGCAGGCTGAAATTTTATCGTTTTAGTCCAAGAGAGGAATCATTCAATCCGATAAAAAAAAAGGTTCGAAAAAGTTCGGTGCCACCCCGGCACTTGCCATCGGCTTGCACCCGGTAGAGAACTTGGATGGATGAGTTTTATTGGTGCACGTCCCGATCAATCTGAGATCATTCCAGAGA